TTGCTGCGTCAGCCCTAACCCCACCAACTCATTTTTTTTAAAATTCGGATTAACGGCAGATTTTTATGGCGAAAGCTTAAAGGGAATGCTTCACGTTTAAATATATTAAAGCAGCATTAGATAACATGGAACAAACTAGCGTAAAACTATTGATGAGCTTGTTAAGTGGAAAAGACTGCTCTAGTCAGCGCAATACTCTGTTAACTATGCTCCTCAATACTTCATGGTTTGGTTACGTCATCGTACCCGTCATATCTGGAAATCGCCCTCTCGGACACCAGATATGAAGGCATCGACAATTATGTAATAATATTTTTACAATAATATTTTTGGCCTCGATCGTTGCATGGCTTATGGAATGACATAATTTGAATGAGGTTATTATGGCGTCGTGATGGCTAAGGTGACTTTGAAATGTTCTCTTCGATATACCTTTCCAAATTTTCGTGGGCATGTTGCTCGGAAACTAGATGGGCCTGAGACTTAAGAAGGGCAGGATGGTGAACAGTACCGAAAGGCCCTCAGGATGGGTATTTCAGTTCAAGTATCTGCGAAAATTTGGAGCAGTCTTTTTAACGTGCTGTAATGCTCGGCACGGTTCGTCCTGCTATCTGACGTGATTTCACGCGAGCGCTTCCAACGGCCGCAAACCAGCGAGGTCAGGGGAAATATCCCGGGTTAGACGCAACTCATGTCCGACGCGCCATGAGCGGGGGCGGCGACACCGTGGGTGTGTAGGGACACATTCCCCACATTCTTTGAATCGTGGGGGGCTGTCCTCAGCACTGCCAAAAAGACACACAATTCCCGAACGCACGTATACGTGTTCTGGTGAAGCGAGTACGAGTAAAGCATCTCACGCAGAGTTTTTCATGACTTATAACGCCGTGAAATCGGCTGTCTTTATTACTTGTCAAAAATGTCCTGAATGGCAGCAATAACACGTTTCAGCTTTAAATATTATATATTGACGCACCAAACACTTTTAATCATTTCTCATATCATTCAGCACCGTCCTCAACGATTATTCTCAAATGAGTCACTTTCTAAAAAAGTTAGTTTTCATCTGACATTATATAGGACGTCATCATTTTCGCATTCACCATTTTCTTTAGCTTCATTTGTGATTACCCGAAAAGCCGGCCATTCTGGTGTAACACCGTGAAATTCTGGCGTGGAAAGCTCAAAGCTGCGGTGAAGTTTTCAAAGCGGTGACCACACAAGAGGGTACACACGCCATATTATTGGTATAATAACATCTGATAGCTGTCATGAATACCGAAAAGGAAGGTACAAAAAACAAAACTAACTGAAATCGAGTGCAGCTTTTGACACACGGTCATAGCCGTAGAAACGTTTAAAAAGTGTGCTAGCGAGGAGCACCATGCCAATTATGGGACCGAAATTCTTAAAAAAGTGAGGGAGAGCTTTATTCCTCGGGAAGCGGCCGTAACCATGGTACGGGGGCACAGGGGTACCAAAGAGCCTGCTATTGCCTTGCTGGCGAAAGGCCCTTCCCCACCGGAACTAAAAATAACCAGCTATGGGCAATTGATTTCGAAGGGTCACGATTTTCTTTGCATTACACGCATTTCTAGCTTTTCTAACAAGAACAGAAGTCAGAAACTACTGGAATATGCAATTCTGTTTGTGTTTGAAAACACAATACACTTAATGAAGCGGGTTTGAAATTGAAATGGTTCACTGAACTCCTTTTAACTCACTGAACTCCAATAGAGCTCAAAAGCTTTGCCGGAATTTTGTTCGGGCTCTACAGAGATATTGAGAACTATGTGAACGTAGATTGTGGAGCTAAATGAGGTAAGGAAAACTTCTGTGAACATGGTTACCTCACGTTCGTATAGAAATGTTTAACCTTCAATCAGTATCGAATAGTGCTAAAATTATCTAGCAAAGTTTTAAACATGCGCCTCCGCAAGTCCTGGAAACAAAAATCCCACGCTCGACGTTGCAGTCTCCATAGGACGCGTGGGGTGGCCCTGAGACTAACACTGGGCGGGGGACAATGGGTGAACGAATATGATAGCGTGCATGTAAGTAGTGCTCTTGAAATTTTTAGGGCAACAACTCGCTCGTTTATAGGGTGATCCAGTTGTGTATTTCGTCTGGGCACTTTGTAGATTGATATTTGAAATGAACAGCATTTACAGCGTCGTGAAATATTGGTGAAATCTGGTGGTGGTTCGATAAACATACAGGTAAATATCTATTTTCGTCATACTGTACCTGTTGAGCTGCTCAGAGGACATTCTTGAAAATGTAGCGGAGGAATATACACCCCAGTTTAGTTTTATAACCGCACGAATTAGTTTTGACAGACTTTTGGGGGCGTTTTTTACGCCGGTCGTTCTTCCGCGTCCGGCGTCTGACACTTAGTGTTGTCTGCAGCGGCCAACGCCGTTCGGTTTGACAGAAACCGTAATCCCGACACCCACTGTTCCAGTGAGGTAGCTGTAGCTCACTGTAGCTCCTAAGCTTGCGAGCGTGTCGGCTTAAGACTTTTAATGCAGTTTGTTTCACCAGTGGGTTCTGCAAAAGGATAGAACTTCCAAAGCAAACATGTGTTGCAATGTTTCATTTTTTAACTCATTTTGATTCACGCCGTTGAACACTTATGAGACGCCACAATCTTTTCCGCCGTGTGCGCAGAGCGCAAGAAGGCATGTCATCCTTCCCGGCCAAGACTATTCCAAATGTTGCATAGCTGGCTCCGTGTCATTTGCTGAACAGGGATAGAAGCGCATTCGCTAATGCCATGTGTTTTCTTACTTGGGTCGGGGCCTCCTGACAGCAGAAGGAGATATGGAAACTTCGGATGAGAGTCGACTCTCAGTATCACATATCATAAGGGATCCGTTATGATATGACGGAAGGGCCCTTTGTCAGTCAGGGCATGAAGTTCTGTATAGTGGTCCTCTACCCCATTTCAGCCAAGGGTCACTTGAGTTGAACTGGAGTCGCCATGTCAATTCTTGGAACACTAACAGCGTTGAAAAATCGTGTTGCACCAATGAGGGCTCCTGTGCCGATCCGGAAACAATTGCGGGGCCAGAGGCCCTGACGCATCTCCCTGTGTTGTCAGAATGACAGCCGGTAAGCACCCCGCGCTGCGACGAAATGGCCCTTTAGCCCTAGGCGCTGGGACGGAATACCCCTCCAGTCCTTGGCCGGGAAGATAATGTGCCTCCTAGTGGTCTAGCCACGGGGCCTCGTACACGAAAAAGGCATGGAGTCTCATAAGTGTTCAACAGAGCGGTTACAGATGGGGCCGAAAATGAAAAACCGCCAATCCATGTTTGCCTGCAAGCGTCCATCTTTTTGCAGAATGGACTGGTGAAACAAACTACATAGAGGGAGGACAGCAGCCAGTTTTCTCCTGCCCTTCTGTCTACTTGCGCGGGGGTAAGAATGTGTTTCTGCCCCCCCCCCCCCTCTCACAATATCTTAGGGTCCCTTTGCTCAGACCAGAGGCATTGCAAGGACCCGCAGATTAGTAAGTTTCAGATCAAGGAGGGCTCATAACTGAGCCAGGGAGTAATAAATTGGGCTCAGAAGACACCTTTTTTCAAAACAAGAAACGCATTCATCGGACCGCCTTAATGGATAATTGGTCGTTCATGTTCATAAGTGGGTCCGATGTGATGTTAAAGAGGCCCCTCTGTTGGCTCGGGAGGCCCCATTCCAGGCTAGGATGCCTTTTCCTGTGTTATGGGGCACAATTTTTTTACCGGAAATCCCATGTTTTGAACCCCTTTCATGCAGCAGATGGCCCCGATTCCGGATGAGGATGCTCCGTTCTCGGAAAATGAGCCTCTTGGCTAGATTTTGAGGCCCCCTTCGTGAATCGGAAGCCCCCTGCTCTGGATAAGGATGAACCTCTAGGCATAAGAAAATTATTTTCTGGAACAAGTGACCCTGTTTGAGGATAGCGAAATCGTTTACTGAACACTAAGAAGACCATTAGTCTAGATTTTGTCATTGTTGACATTTATTTACTGGAATATGACGCATGTAACAATATGATTAGGTGGCATATGCCCTCGGTGCCCCTCCCTCTTTAATGCGACACTGCCAGTAGCCCCCCCCCCCCCCCTTTGAGGATGTCCGGTTAGATTGTCCCATTTTATCCAGATGGCCCTTTGGAAAATCTGCACCAAAGTCAAAAACCCCTTCGCCTCCCTTATCTTCCCGTAGCTTAATGGCTTCTTTTCCCGTCAAACTGGATACAGATGAAAAACAATCCTCCTTTAAAGCAAGTGCGCCATATCCGTGGATTTCTATTTTGGCGGGACACTTTTCACCTTCAGGGGTCCCTTTGTCAATCTAGTGCCTCCCCTCTTACCAAGGCTCTGACTGCGCCTTGCGGGGCTGCGAATCTTTGACGTCGCCAATTGCATGCATTACGATTTAGCCATTTATGGATTTTAGGCCTGCAAACTTTATTCTATGCTTGTTTGCCATACCACCTTTTGCTTAACGTACTTTGTCCGCTACCCTGCGCTTCTAGTGGTGTTCATGGCCAGCAAATTCACTGAAAAGCTTGCCCACAATTCTGAAATTCTTAAATGTTTCACTTTGGATGACTCATAAGCGTACTCTAGCCACCATACTGTGAGTGGTCCATTGCTGGTCCAGAGGTCCGCAGTCCATAGCCCATAGCAGTATTTTAAACCGTGTTACTTTGGGTGGTACATGACGTCACAAAAGTGTATTCCGCCAAATAATACAAATGTGGACAAAGTCTTCTGAAAATTTGAAAGGTGTCCTTTCAAGCACAGTTTTCGTCATGTTGCTGAAAGAAAGTGTCCTAATGTCGAAGTTTTCGGGGCTGAAGACTTCGGGGCTGCAGCGGAGGGCCATAAGCGTCATACATAGTCGCCACATTGATTACGTCATAATCCATACCTCACCAGGTAAGTAGCTTACTAAAGGGCAATTGGAATACCCCCACCTTGATTGCGTGGCGTTCTCTTGTGCGCGTCGTATACAGGAGAAAACCTTGGAAAAAGGCCGGCGGTCATCGGCCGCGGTGTGTATTGCCGGCGCCCAGGAAGGTACGATCATCACATTTTGACGGATTGATGCTTGAAGTTCTGATCTCAAGGTGGTGGTGTTAGTATCTTCTTGACTGCCCTGTTGTGTGCTTTGATTTGCGTTACTCAGTATTCGCATTTGGTTGTGCTCATCCGAGTCGATAGATACAACGGTTGATGGATATAAACTGTGCTTCAAAGTTTGAATTGCGCCAGAATGTCGTGATTGTGAAGCTGAAACTAAGAAGACAACCCAACCGATAATTAAACTCAGAAGATTGAGCTTCCCGGTTTTCTAATTGTGTTTTAGAGTGAGTCTGTTCGCATGCTCTGCAAATGGGACATATTGCATAAGGGTAAAGTGAAATGTGCATGTGGGCATGCAGATTTATTCTGAATTTCAACTACACCCTTTCTGGAGAACCATGTATACAGTTTCATCACATAAAGATGAAAATTTAGGCATCACATAGGGTTGGGGTTTTCCCCAATTTACCCCTATTTAGATGAGTGTTAAGCATTACATGGGTGTCACAGTGGTATGGTGTTACTTTTCTGCCAAAAAAAAAATACAGTGCAAGCTGCTCATGTGGCATTATTGCACTAAACCGAGAGCATTGAGAGTTCAGTGCAGGCCGAGCCAAACTGGTTTAACATTCATAGTATTTTCACGCACAAAATTACTGCTGTGATGTCATAACTCCTTGAAACAATGGGTATCTATGTGCTGCAATGAATGGGGACATTGCATCAAGCTTAGGCTCTCAGATCAGCTGTGTGGGTGCACTGAACTTGCTGAGGGCATGTTGCTACTATACCAAATTTATTCAGAACAACATGTTTTTTGCAGTCTGCTGATGGTGCAGCCATAACTGTCTGAAGGGGGGGGGGGCATCTCAGTGGTGGGCGCAAAATGGCCCTGATGCTGAAGCGCCCTTGAAAACCAAATCACCACTGGGTGGCATCTCAGGGGTGATGGATTCTGTCCTTTACATTTCTTTAAGCACCCATCTTTGGTGCCAAAAATGACCTCCAAGGAAACACCACTGCCCCCCTGCAGTTGTGCTCCTGGGTATCCTCATGCAGCTAAATTCAAAGCAGCCTTGGGGCAGTTGACACATGGAATGAGTAGGTTATTAACTCATGCACAAGTTGATAACTTCAGGCATATGCTCAACTATTCCCACACTAACATTATCAACCAGTTTTGGCCCATGAACTGCAGTGCTTCTGGGCCACCACCAGGATACAGCTGCATTTCACATGCGGAAGGAGTGTTGCTAAGGTATATTCTGGCTATCTTGGTTACAGAGCAAAACATGTGATTCAACCTTCATTTGCTAAGTATTAACACTATGAAGAGTTTGCAAGATTGCAGAAGACAATGGCCATTAATATGTCACAATCATAGTGACAACAAACAAACTCTGAGTTTGGCAGTGAAATGCCTTGATGGCCTAGACGTAGAACACATAGTTTTACATGGGAAAATCATGAGTGTGCATGATGCATACAAATCATGTTTTATCTATCACTTGTGGTAGTTGTAGATCATTACAGCTACCAGGCTAAGTACATAAGAAAACCTAATGTTTGATAGGCTTGATTGTTGTGAAGTGTAGTACCACATTACTCAAAGCAATGTAATCTGTTCTTATGATCCATATTTGCTTGCACTCTTCTGTCCTGATGTTGTGGTACTTATGAAAGTCATGAATTATTTGCTGAAATAAAACACTAGAAACTGTGGGTTAGGCAAGAGCATTTTAAAACTTACGCTATAATCAATCATTCAAACATGGCATGCTGGATGACCCAATGCAATAGATGAACATTGGAGCACTGCTATTTTAGCTTAAAGTTTTTTCAGTTGGATTTGTAAGTCCTGTGCAATATAAAGCTATGTCAATAGTTGAGACTGAACTTTCTGTGGTGAAAAATAAAATTGATCCAGTTTACAAACTCAATAAATAGTATGGAGGAGTGGGCATGGTTTTATTGGGTTTGGCAAGAAGCAATTACCTTGTTCCATTACTGTAAATCATAAACAAATCTTGTCTGTCAGCATGATTTAGGTGATTTATTTAGGCAACATTAGGTTTTAATGCTTGTGTTTTCTTCTGCGAGCATATGCTGCCACAGATCTGTGATTGTGGATTGGCATGAAGTATTAATTTTGGACAAGTTAAGCAGTAAAACACTTTGTTTGATTTTACTCATAAAGTTATATGTATCCGTAGCCCTGTTTTTTAGTCTCAAGTGAATGTACTGCTGCCAAGTTCAGTTTGGTACACACACATTGTTGTGCACAAACTTTTTACAAAATTTTATCACTGCATATTTTCTGTTTTGGTTTGCACCTCCACTTTTCCAAGGTATTGCATTAAATGAAATGCAAAATAAGGTCACTTTAAATCTGCACATTCTTTTCACTGTGTGTGTGTTGGTGGCCACAACATATTGTCTTGTCAAACCAGAATGCAGCCTCAAAGTTGCCTGAATCTCAGATGCTATAATTTGAGTCATTTGGTGCTTTAACCTGCCATTTTCCAGGTTTGAATAACAAGCACGTAGCTAGACATGGCCAAACGAGGAGCGGACGAGGGCGTTGGCGGGGAGCCGCCGCCCAAGAAGGTGCAGTTTGAACAGATCAAGATCGGACCTGTATCCACCCTGGAAGACATTGACATGAAAACACTTCAGTTCCAAAATAAGAAGCTGGCTGAGGTGAGATGGCCTTATGTGATGTCCTTGTGCCCTTGTCCATGTATACTTTTTTCTAAGATTTGGTCCAAACCTTTTGATTGGATGAATTTATGGGATGAGTGTCAATGCAAAACAGTTCTTGTTGCCTGTATCCCACCATCCAGTGGTGGCATTTTAGGTCAATGACAGAATTTTGAGAGAAGCTTGATTTGCTGTGATGCTCATCACGTTCCATTCCATTCTAACTTCTGATGTCACTTCGCTTTTAGCGCGACGGCCTCCGCAGGCCACAGGCCACTCCAGTTAGTGGCAAATGCCAAGCATCTGTAGCAACACGCCCCCTCCCCCCCCCCAACGGGCTACCGTTGCTGTTCCCTGTGTGTGTTGCAGAGGTACAAGCAATGGGCTTGTATATGTATAGTCATGGCCACCGCCACGATGCCGTGTCTGTCGGCACTTGTCAACAACCGCTGCACTAACGCCGAGGCTGGTGCGTCGACAGCGGCTGAAGCGGCACCACCGCGCCGACCAGGAGCTGCGGGGTCGCATCGACCAGCTGGAGAAGCGCCAGATCCAGGATGACGCCGTGCTCAACATCATCAACCGCTATTGGAACCAGCTGAACGAGGACGTGCGCGTCCTCCTGCAGCGCTTCGACGCCGAGACCAGCGACGAGTTCGAGAGCAAAAGTCAGTCGGTGCGCGACAGCGGCGACTGGAGATGGTCCCGGCCTGTCCGGGTGACCGGAGATTGTGTTGCGCAGATAGCCATTGCTTTGTCACGGAATGCTGTGGACGTTGTCATACCTGCGTGGATTGCAGGTTATCCTGAGCACCCCTTTCCTGCGTTATTTGTGGCTGGTGAGCAAGTGCCCCCGCCCCACTCCCCTTCTGCAGGTGACCGCGTCCCTCCAGCTGTCCAAGTGCTTTTGACCGCTGAACTAGCATATTAGCATGTAAGCTTGTAAGCGTGTTGATTGGTGCGTCTGTCTCCCACTGACGGGGAGCAGGTGGTCAGACGGCGCCCGTTATCTCGGCACCAGGGAGACGCCACTGCCCCGCTCACGGCGGCGTCGCACGCCACGCCCCGCTCACGGCGGCTGCTCGCATGCCCACAGACGAGAGCGAGGCGACCACGTCGTTCCTGACGCAGCTGTCCACCTGGGACAAGCAGGAGCTGGACGAGAAGCTGGCGCGCCGGGTGCAGGTCTCCAAGCGAGCCGTGGCCAAGATCCTGCAGGCTTTCGACCGCGTTGTACAGCGCAACGAGAAGATCACGCTGGCGCTGAAGGCAGAGGCCGGCGAGAACGGTGCGTGTTGAACACCGCCGGGCCGAACGGACGCGTGTCTCCCGGATGGCGGAGTCACACGGCCGTCGAATCTACATGGTCGCTGTGTAGTTGGGTCGCAGGCGTCGCTCGCTGGCTGATCTGTTTGCAGTCAGCTGGCCGGACACGGCCCGCTGGCTGGCGGAGTTGCCTGCGTGTTGCCTTGCAGGGTGGTGTAGTCTCGTGCCGTGGATGTGTGGCTGACTGGCTCCATGGCTGGTGGAGAGGGGTAACGTGGGTGTGGCTGGTGTGTGGCCTGTGAGACAGTTTAGTCACATCTTGGTCTGTTTTCTCACGAAGAGTCTGCACACTTGGCTTAAAAGCGCCTTGCCTTGACGTCTGCTGAACTGTTCGTTCCACGGTGCAGCGAGGCCCGCTGATATGGCAGTTAACTGATAGCCTTTACCTGTTGTCACTGACTTTTCCTTTAAGTTAAAGTTAAACCCTCAACAGGTTTATCAGTAAACAATGAAAGTTGATTATGTGTGGAATGAATTCACCCCGCCATCCAGCTATGCCCATTAAAGAGGTGTTCGGTCTAGCGGAACACACATTTGGTCGTCTTATTTCATACGTAAATCGTCACGCTATCTCCTGATTTCTACGAGTTTTTTCTTGCCAGCCACTCGCTCTTTCCGTTCCAGTTTTCAAGTTTGTTTTGCAATTCATTCTCAATTTGTTTGTGAACCTCAACAGGGGTGAATAGTGGTAGTTAGTATGCTGAGCAACGTCAATTAATGCGCATCTGTTGAAACCAAAGCACGGAACAAGCGAGTCGCAGGCACAATGTACATGTGTCAGGACATTAAGACTTGCCCACGCATAGGTGTGTGTGTCGAGTATATTTTCTACTCAATCCCCCAAACGACGACATTGTGCAGTAACGTCACGGTTAGATTCCTAACAACATGCTTGCGTTTGGGTTAATCTAGCAAGCACTCGTGATGCTGCTGACCCCGGGTGCTCTGTTTCACGGCTTCACCGTGCTGTCTCACTGTTTCAGAGGAGCCGCCAAGCGTCGACGAGGAGATCAAGGAGATGAACGTGGCGCTGCAGAAGGAGAACGCCAGCTTGCATGCGCTGAATACGGCCCTCCACGAAAAACACCACACCATGTCTCTGAAGGTGCGTCCGAAGGAGGGCTGTGGCAGGGAGCCGGCACCCGTCGCTGGGTGGCGCGGCGGTGCTGTCGGGTGCCGCGCCGCTGATGCTCGTGTCCCAGTCCACACTGCGCCGCGCGCACGGCGCGCGCTCCCAGCGTGCCCCGTCGCCCCTGGTGTTAGGCTGTGCTCCCCTCCATATGGCTCCATCTATAAAGCAGTCACTTTGGTTAGTGTACGTCGGTTATGACAGTTACGGTGCGATAATGTGTAGCCTCGGTGGGCAGTCTAAATCTCCAGTAATCTATGGTCGTGCCTGAGACGTCAGATCGCGCGTTGAGGGTGCTCTGTCATACCCGCACCTTACAAACAACGTGCTGCTGCCTTGCAGTTCGATGATTAAGCCGGTGTTGATCATTCTACGTGTTGGTTCGATGTCCACGCGGCACGCATGGCGCAACTAACTTGGTTTTGGTGGCTTCTCGTACCATCTGTAACATTGTCTGAAGGACTTCCGTGTGTGAACCAGCGTCTGACCTTATGTGACGTTCGACGACCTGCATCTAGCCATATCGGAGCTGACCCGTTGTCCCGACTTAGCCTGCCATGGCCACGCCGCTGTAGCTTCAATAACTCCACATGAACTGTTCTGTCCCGGCGGACATTAGCTCGCCGGATGTAGCCTTACTTATGCTAACAGCTGGTGGCTGACGTATTGTGCCCCGACGACCGACCTGTTCTAACCTGACCTGACCTGATCTGACCCGACCCGACCCGTTTACGACCTAACCTGACCTGATCCGATTTGACCCGTCCTGTCCCCGGCATACGGCTGACCTGACCTGACCTGACCTGACGCGACTTGATCTGGCCCGGCCCGTCCCCGGCAGACGGCCGACCTGCAGGAGCGGCTGACGGCGCTGCAGACAGAGAAGGACGAGCTGGGCAACCGGCACGACGACATGCTCTACGAGTGGGAGAAGACGCGCAACTACAACGAGAAGCTGGAGGCGCACCTGGCCGACGCCTCCGAGAAGGTGAGCCGGCGCCGCCGCTGGGCGGGGGTGCGAGGCGAGGCGTCTCGTCCCGCCGCGACACCGCACCCCGTCTCAGCGCTGGCGCTTGTGCGGGTTGAAAAGACAGATACTTACAGCATTTTTGTTGGCTCATGGGAGTGCGTATATCACTATGACTATGATGCAGTGGACGCACGAAGTGTAGAAATGTTGGCGTTGGTCATCACTCGCATGCTGAAAAAACGCGATTCGACACGTGGTTCGCGGCGTGTTGGTTGTCACAGGCCGACCGCAGCTATTCCTGAATTGATGGTCCGAAGCGTGCCGTCCGGATGGCGGGCGGGCTCCAGGTCGACCTCGCGGGAGTCTGACTGGGACATGTCTGAGCGGCTGTCAGCCCGCTCAGACCCGCGCCCGAACCCCAGGGCGCCGCCGCCGGCGTCCGGGCGCGCGGCCCGGACCGCCCGCTAACGCTGGCACCGCTCCGTTTCAGCTGAAGTCTTATGAGCAGCAGATGGAGGAGCTGCGACCCGAGGACCCGGCCGCCAAGACCTCGGCGCTGGCGGGGGCCGCCGGCAGCGCCCGAAAGACGGAGAAGTCGGTCAAAATCAGCGGCTCCGTGCAGAAAATGGTACGTCGGGCGGCGGCAGGCCCGGCGGGTCCCGTTCGCCTGCGGCTACGTCTCGCGTGTTCGCGGCATATGCTGCGGCCATTCACGGATTTCTGGGCGAATGGGTCGTATCTCTCCTGGGTCATGCAAGTGGTGTGTGACAGTGTTGTGCGCGCAGTGTGGACGAGACCAGGCGGCGGGGAGTTGTCGCCCCCGATTTGTCATTACAGTCTCCGGACCCAGGTCGGGTACGTTGGGGGGGGGGGGGGGGGGGATGTGGGAAGCCGCATTGCATGTTACTAATGACGTCATATTTGTAGTCCTGGAATGCTGAGACCTGCTGCCGGGCTTGGCTGTATATGTCTGTATAAGGCGTCAGGACGGGTATATATATATATATATATATATATATATATATATATATATATGGAACTCAAAAATGGAACTCTTGAGCTACTAGGTGGTGTGCGGTGAGCACTTCTGATGTGATTGTGACAATAGTGTTCCCATTGTGTCTTTGTGATGTTCCCATTATGAGTGCTTCTTACATGTTTGAAGATGAAAATAGCAATCCGTCTTACTTCAATTAGTTGTGCTTCATTTATGTTCTCCGTACTAAAATATGTTTTCCAACAGTAGTGCACAATTTTTCATCCTTTAAAACTCAAAACTTATTTCTTGTGCAATTTAGTCTTCTCCGAAGATGAGATAAGATCTCGAAGCGTTAGAATGGAAGGAGTGATGAATATATGTGATGAGTAATTTTGTGCGAACCATCTTTAATCTAAGCGATGACGCAAAGTCAAAGGCCCGGAAACTAGAACGATGCATCAAAAAGCTCGTTAATGCTGAGTCAGCAGTTATTTTTAATCAAACATGTATCAAAGAAAGAATTCTGCCAAAATATTCCTATATATATATATATATATATATATATATATATATATATATATACACCCCACAAAGCTCTCTGTGCGAGGCCTCTGCAAAAAGGGCAAAAAACAAGGTGTGAAGTGGAGATGGATGTCACTCAACTTAGCTGTCACCACTTCAAAGCTCCCACGGTATTGAACATAGTTGGGTTACATGGGTATGGAGGGACAACCTTGTACTTTTTCGAGTTGGAGAAATTGGGCTCGACGCCATCGTATCCTTGGCTAGTCAACTGTTATATGTCCTAGTGTAGAATCACACCCCTCTTGGGACCCGGGCGGCGCTCGTTGCGCCGCGTGCTGCGGTCGCCCTGTTCCGACAATGCGCCGCTCGCTAGATCGAGGACCTGAACCAGGACCTGGAGGAGCAGCGGGAGCTGGCCACCAAGCGGCTGCAGGAGCTGGAAGACCTGCACCGGAAGCACAAGGACGTGCTGAAGGAGGTGGAGAAGCTGAAGATGGACGTAAGTCCCGCCGCCTGCCGCCTGCGAGGCGCTGTAGGTCCAGCGGCCGCTCGCTCCGGCCTCGCGTGACTGTGTGTGGGTGTGGGTGTGGGTGTGGGTGGGTGATTGGGTGGGTGCGTGGGTGTGTGGGTTTGTGGGTGGGTGTGGATGTGGGTGTGCGTGGGTGGGTGGGTTTGTGGGTGGGTGTGGATGTGGGTGTGCGTGGGTGTGGGTGTGGATGTGGATGTGGATGTGGATGTGGATGTGGGTGGGTGGGTGGGTGGGTGGGTGTGGGTGTGGGTGGGTGGGTGTGGGTGGATGTGTGGGTGGGTGTGGGTGTGGGTGTATGTGGCGGGGGGGTGCATGTGCATGTGGGTGTGCGTGTGTGTGACGGTGCCCAGTTGGGGCTCGGCTGGTGAGGCGAGGTGAGGTGTGGCGCCGCCGGTCCGCCTCGCCTCTGCGCGTGAGGTCGTCTCGCTAGACCAGCGGACCGGTCTGTCATGTCGGCCTCGCGGCCCCGTCGGAAGCCCCTGTCGGCGGCGCTGCTCCCACCCTTCCGGCGGTCAGTCAGTGCGGGGCCTGGCCGACGGTCAGCGCACGATCGCGCGGCCGAACGGCGGGCCTGTGGCGCCGCCGGCGCCGTCGCTGGGCGCCCAGCTGTCGGGCTGATGGCGCCGTATCCGTCCCCAGCTGCGCCAGCTGCCCGAGTCGGTGATCGTCGAGACGCCCGAGTACAAGTGTCTGCAGTCGCAGTTCTCGGTGCTGTACAACGAGTCGGTGCAGCTGCGCATCCAGCTGGACGAGGCCAAGCACCAGCAGCAGTCGTGCACCAGCGCCCACCTGCGTCAGATCGAGCAGATGGAGGTGAGTTCGCGGCCAGTCCGTGTGTCGAGCCAGCGGGGGAGGCGGGAGTGGGGTGAGGCGCGTGTGGGGGTAAGTCGGCGCTCAGGTGGAATAGGTATACATTGGTTCGAAGCCAGGCTGGCGCAATAGAACCCGGTGTGCATTTGGTCTGAGGTCGGGCAAGATGGGTCCAGTGCCAGTGCCAGTGCCGCGCGTGATGTCGCCCTGCGGCGGCCATCGCGCTGCCGGCTGACCCGGGGGCGTGGACGGTCGCTCGGACGCGCTGTTCGTGTCGTCCCGGCCTGCTGCCGTGCGGTTCAGCGGCGCGTGTGGCGGGGCCCACGCAGCGCGGGCTGACCTGGCGGTGGGTGTGACTCGGCCGGGCCGCCGCCCCTCCTCAGAGTGAGGAGCTACTCTCGCAGCGCAAACTGCGCACCAAGGAGATCCAGCAGGAGGACGAGCTGGCGCGCGTGCGCAAGGAATACGAGATGCTGCGCATCGAGTTCGAGCAGAACCTGGCGGCCAACGAGCAGACGGGTCCGATCAACCGGGAGATGCGGCATCTCATCACCAGCCTGCAGAACCACAACCAGCAGCTGAAGGGCGAGGTGCAGCGCTACCGGCGCAAGTACAAGGAGATCAACATCGAGCTGTTCAAGGTGGGTTCCCGGTGGCAGCGGGGCGCGCGCGGAGTGGCTCCTGGGCGGCGCTGAGTATGGCACCAGCGCTATCGGTGCGTGCTGTTTGGGTGTAGTGAGATCGATGTGGGTACCGGTCGGGACATCAGCTACTGTGACAGTTGTGGGTTAGAGCAGGAGCTCAACGGGCGCAGTATAGTGCGCTGAAGGACGTCGCGGCGCTGCGGATCGCCATGGCTCTGCATCAGTGCACCCCGCGAACCGTCTGGGTGCCGGTCTGAGAGAGACCAGGGCCCAGTGCAGTGTTGTCTGTGATATCCGTACGGTTCAGTGCTTGTGTGGAATGGATTTAGCTGGCAGCGCTGTCAGGCGTTCAGATCGAGCGTGGCGCGGGCGGCACGCGCGCCTGACGCGTGTCGGCGTCGGCCCGCCCGGCAGGTGCGCCGGGAGGTGGAGGAGCTGAACCAGGAGAAGTACCGGCGCACTTCGGAGCGCCAGGACTCAACCTCGTCCGACCGCGACGTCAAGGAGGAGCACGCCCAGCACGCGCACGAGGCCGGCGTCAAGGACGAGGCCGACATCAAGAAGGAGGAGCCCGACGCGGACCAGGTGAGGGCGACGCCGGCGGAGCGGCGGGAGCCGCGCTCCGGACCCCGAGCTGGGGCAGGGGTGGACTGCGTCGTCGCCTGCCGGTGGTGGCGTGCCCGCGGCGGGACCTGGTGTCATGCCTTGTCGTTCGGTGTCATCACGGCTCGCGCTGCCGGGAGGGGCGGCGTCTCCTGACCGAGCGTGGGTCCGCTTGCGCGCAGGGCGGCTCGCAGTCGGCTGAGGCGCAGGCGGCCGGTGAGGGCGACGCGGTCAGCCGCGACCAGAAGGACATCAAGAAGGAGAAACACACCCATCAAGAAGGAGCAGCTCAAGCACCGCGAGCTCTCCAAGCAGGAACAGGAGATGATCCGCGATCTCAAGTCGCAGCTCAAGTATGACTCGGCCGGCAGCACCGCGCGCACGCCGGCGCCGCCAGTGTTTGTCGCCCGGTTCGGCCGGCCAGCCTGTGGCCGTATCTCTGCCCCTCACGTGGGGGATGTTTGATGCGATGGTTCACCACTTTTCCGCTCACGTGGGGCATGTTGTGTGAGGGCTGATGTTTGGCCCATCATTTACGGAGTTGTTCTGGCTCGCACCAGGCCGCGTGTCGGTGCAGCAGGTGGCGTAATCGCATCTCCTAGCCGATGCGTCCGCTGCCACCAGACTGGGGTCATGTGGGACAGAAAGTGTTGTGCCCGAGGCAGCAGAGACCGTCTGTACACAATTTTGGGAGTAGTTCTCGGCTTTATACGCAGTTATCATTGACTAGCTACCTGGCTAATACTATGTACTTAACGGACGGCGTTACTGCGTAACAGGAAGTCGCTGAACGAGCAGAAGGAGATGAAGCTGCTGCTGGACATGTACAAGGGCGTGGGCAAGGAGCAGCGCGACAAGGTGCAGCTGATGGCGGCCGACAAGAAGGCCCGCCAGGAGTGCGACGAGCTCCGTATGCAGCTCAAACGGTTCCAGGTGCGTGGCGCCGCCCCAGCTGAGAGCCGGCCGGCTTCGGTAGTGGTGGGCTCGGTTCGGGGCGGCGGCGGCGGAGTTCCGCCGGTGGTGGGCTGGTGAGCGTGACGTAAGGCGTGTGACGGTGAAGGGATCGAACGTGCCGACGGGGCCGCGCCCGATCCTGAAGCGCTGGGGGGCGTGTGCTTATTCGTCGACCAGTGCCGGCGCAAGGTGAGTGGCTAGGACTCGTTTGCTGAGCACGGGCCCGCGTGATGGGGGCCGTGTTGGTCCGCTGAGGCGACGGAGGGGAGGGGGGGGGGGGGGGAGGAGGGCACGGGAGTAGATCGCCAGCGGACGCGTGAGCGCCGCTGAGCGCCGCTCGTCGCGCCCGCCGCACTGTACACCGTTCGGCTCGTGCCGCAGGAGGCGAAGCGGGAGGAGAGGAAGAAGCTGGCCGACGAGGACGCTATCCGCAAGATCCGTCAGCTGGAGGAGCTGAACCACGTGCTGCAGAAGCAGATCCAGAACCAAAAGCAGGTGTGGTAGGGGGCCATCAACGCGTGGGCGGGCCCGTCCGGCGGCCGTGGCCGGGCTGGAGTGGTGCTAGCCGCGGCTCAGTCGTAAAGCTCGCGCCGTGTTGGCATAGCCGGATGCCAAGTGTAGTCATCGGTCAGATTGGTCGGGGGCCAGAAGTCCAGGCGATTACATGCAATCAGCAGCATCATGCGGACTGCTCGTGGTGCTCGTCATGCGCGGGTCATCAGTCGGTCAGGTGTGTGGTCTGGGCCGCTAGTGGCGCCCCTGGCGGCCGTCTGACGCAGCGCTGCCGCCGCCGGCAGGAGGCCGAGGCGCTGGTCAACGAGATGGAGGTGACTGGCCAGGCGTTCGAGGACATGCAGGACCAGAACATCCGGCTCATCCAGCAGCTGCGCGAGAAGGACGACGCCAACTTCAAGCTGATGTCAGAACGTATCAAGGCAAACCAGACGCATAAGCTGGTGCTGGAGGAGAAGGACATGATGAGCGAGCGGGTGCGTTTTGCCCCGCGTTGCCGCTTACACACAGGGTCTACAGGCGTGAAGCCAGGGCACGCAAATACCTGCCTCTTTCCAGCTCCAGTATGCTGGTCTTCATATCCCCATTACTGTTTTTCCCCAATCCTCATCACTGTATTTACTTCCCTTGCAGTGTAAGATTCTTCCTGTTGCAGCTTTTGGTTGCTTTATCTTTTCCCTCTGGCTGTTCGGTTTCATCCTGCCGATCACATGTGCGTGAATGCATGTATGTTCCGCCAAAATAAGTTCTTTCCGGGCTTGTCATTTCACCAGCTGTGTGCGATGATGAACAACCGGAGGCGCCGCAGTGATTTGTGTCCAGCCGCACCTCCGTCTGACGTCGGTCCATCTCCGTGTTGCCGCTGGCTGACCGGCCGCTGACCGTCGTCTTCGCCCGGCGGCCAGGTGAAGACGCTAACGACGCAGGTGGAGGCGCAGAACCAGGTGGTGCGCAGCCTGGAGGAGATGGAGCGGCACATGCAGAACGACCTGGCCAACGTCAAGAAGGAGCTCAGCTTCCGTCAGCAGGCCATGGAGATGCACAAACGCAAGGCCATCGAGTCGGCGCAGGCGGCGGCCGACCTCAAGCTGCACCTCGGTGAGCGGCTGCCCGCGGGGACGTCCGGCGCGCGACCGCGGTGGCCTCTGCCGTGACGTCGGCTCGGGGCGGCGACCTTTTGCTGGTCCTGGCGATCCGCCGAAGGCTGCCGTCTCTCGCGGTGCATAGTGTACGTGAGGCGTCGGAGTGTGAGGTGTGTGGTGTTGGACTGGCCGAGCGGGACAGAGCGCCGCGTTCCGCTGAAGCGGCCGGCGTAGTAGGCCGCCGGTGATTGCCCGTGGAAGCGTCACACTCTCCTTATTGGTAGCTTGTCGATCTCGTACCACGGCGAGTGCAGTCTGTCCACTTGTCCCGAGGCCCTGGCCGTCGCCGTCGCGCCCGGCCGCTGAGACGGAAGGGACGAGCATGGCGGAGGCGTGCTGCTGCCCCGATGCTGACCGCACCGGCCCCGCGCCGCCCCCAGAGAAGTACCACTCGCAGATGACGGAGGCGCAGCAGGTGGTGGCCGAGAAGACGTCGTCAATGGAGCAGGAGACGTTCAAGACGCGCCGCCTCCAGGAGGAGATCGCCACGCTGCGCAGGAAGCTGGAGCGTGCCAAGAAGATCGAGCTCGCCGGCGCCGCTGACGACGTGCTCATGGAGGAGGTGCGTGTCGCGCCGGCAGCGTAGCGAACTCGGCGTCCGTCCCTGGGGCGGGTTGTGGGCTCCGTCTCGGGGCCAGCCTCGGTCTCAGCCGGCTCCGCTCTCCTCCCCTCCTCCCTCCTCCCCTCCTCTTCTCTCCTCTCGTCCTCGAGTCGGCCACAGACCGGTCGCCGCATCCGACCCCGGGCCGCGGTCCGGTACGCTCTGGGAGACGGCCAGCAGGCGACAGGCCGTCTCGCAGTCGTGGCCGGTGCTCACGAGCGTCTGTATCGACGGAGGCGAGCACGCGGATGTTAACGCGCTGGGTCACTGGTGTGTCTGGGGCTGGCTGCTGGGTGACGTTGCAGCGCACGGTGATCGGAATGGCCGTTTGTCCTGAATGCCTGTCTGCTGGCGCCGGTCCCGCGCCTCCTACCGCTGACCCTCCTACCATTGCAGGTGCGGGAGTATAAGGAGCAGCTCACCTGCCCGTCGTGCAAGGTCAAGCGCAAGGACGCCGTGCTCACCAAGTGTTTCCACGTGTTCTGCTTCAGTTGCTTGCGCACGCGGTACGAGACCCGCCAGCGCAAGTGTCCCAAGTGTAACGCGGCGTTCGGTGCCAACGACTATCACAGATTGTACTTGGCCTAAGTGGGCAGTGGCCGCCGGACTGGCCACGCTGTGGTAGATTGGTCTATTTTGCCACTCTGCTGGAATCTCCTGCCGGCCGGCCGCCGCCAGTGGAGCGCGCCCTGTCGTGGGGCGTCGGCGGGGGAGGGGGCGGGACGCACGTGATGCGCCGGCCGGTCGTCAGGATGACAGGGGCTGCCGCCTGGCCGAGCCGGACCGGGCGGGGTGGCCGTCCGTCGACCGGCCTCAGCTCGGCTCGGCGCAACCTCCCCGTTGCCGGGCGGAGGCGTGCGCGCCGCGCCTGCCGCCTGCTGGCGGACGCAGGACGACCCCCGACGGGCGGCGCCGACCGGCCGGCCGGTCGGGGCCGCGGCGTCGTCGTCCCGACGCTCGGCCGCGCGGACGGATGTTCAGGGAGTCGACCGTGCGTGACAGCGTCGCGGCGGCGGCGTGAGCGCGTCCTGCGCGTGGCGCGCATTGTGGATGGGCGCCGCCGGCAGCGGGGCCGCGGGGCGATCAGCTGGCAACTGCAGGGGTGGGACGCGCCCACCAAGGCTGTCCCACAGAGCCGATCCTTCCGCCGCGCGTGACGGGCTTTTGTGGAGGACATTCTCTGGAACTATGCATTCTGATGGAAGTATACGTGTGTGAGCGGCCGTGGGCGCCGTGTTATTTTCTGATGTAGTCGGTGAGTTTTACTCGGCAGGTCGCGACTCGGCACTCCCGTTCCGTCTTGACGTTGGTTGTATCTCGTCGTTGGGACCTGTATAGCTTCCATGTCCACAGCACTGCAGTTGTTTGGGCTACCCGCTGGTGTACGTACCGTACCGTGTCCTGCTGTAGTGCGTCGACAGATGCTTCTTGGGACGTCTTGCCGAATCGCTCCCGCGTCTGCGGATGGAGCGGGGCCGATGTCCGTCCGGCTGGCTGGCTGGCTGGCTGGCTGCTGGGCGTGTCAGGAGGCGCGAGCGGCCGCCGCGTCCGGGTGGCTGTGTCGTTAATATCAAATGCCGCGCTTGCCGGCAGATCCACGCTCTTCTCTTGTGTCGACTGTATACCGCTAAGCTGTGTTTCCAATGTGATCAGTACCACGAAGAATAAACGCCTGCGATGTGTACGGTGCTGTTGATCTGTCGGGACACCGGACTGCCTGTGGCAGCTGGGCATTCCAGCGCCAACTGGAACCTACATGGGCGTGTCTTGACGCCTGTCCTTTTTCACAGGACATATCAAAGCGTTTTACTGCATGGGCTTGAGTTGGAAAGAGGGTAACGCTTTGTTGGATTCCTAGTCATGTCGGCTTCCTCGGAAACGAGCTCGCATGTTCAGCCTCAAGGCGCACTTTACATGTACCACGCACACGCGCGTGGCCGCTTACAGCGTGTAATTTTCACTGGGCCATCTGGCCATTTTTTCAACGCGAGTGACAACCCTGGTAGAACAGGCAAACAAGCAGCAATCTCACATCTATAAGTTTTTACTTTGGCTCGTGCTCTGGAGGCTGCGTACGTACGTGACCCACGTGTACTTTGCGTGTCGGGATCACAACTGCGATGTCCAGGCTGCCCTGCGTGCCTCGCCGTGCGCGACATGATCCAACCATGTCCGCATCTTGCCCGGGAGTGCTCTCGTCACTGGGCGAAGCGTCGCATCGCCATATCCTCGGATAAGTCTCGCGGGCTTGACAGCGGCCAGCTGCTGTCATTTCTCCCAGGCAGAACACCCCGCGCTATGTTTACATTAAACATAACACCAAACATAACATTAAACATACCACCCCGCGCTATGCTTACACCTCATCGGTTAAACAACTGCCCCGAGCACAATATGGCCGTAGTTGGACGTGCCAAAAAACCCGATCAACAAAAACAACAACGCGTCGGGCGGCAGGCTGAACCTCCACCGCTTCGCTCCTTCAGGCTACGCATTGAATGTCAGTGGATGGCGCCTGCCAGCTGACACCTGTCCTGCGCATTGAGCTGCAAGTATTTACAAGGGTAATACTTTTCTTTCACAAGATAAACTTTTACTCGTAAAAGGGTAAAATCATGAAAAACGTTTTTCTGTCGGTTCCATGGCCTGGTTTTCCGTCGTAAATATGGACCACAATAACCAAGTTGTACGCATACATACATACACATACATACGCGCACATACATACGCATACATGCGCAAACATGCACACACATGCATACATCCGTATACATACCATTAAACGCATGCGTGCTCACCCAAGGTGAGCATTTCCTCAGTTTCCTGACGTGTTGCGGTGCCGCTGTTGGCTGGGCGGCACCAGCGGTGGCACAGGCGCACAGGACAGCACGGCGCCGCTCGGTCGGGGCCAGCAGCCGCGGCGGTGCCTCGAGGCGTCACCCGTCGCCAGCACCGTTGCCGGAAGGAGACCGTTCTCCGTGTCAGTGTACAAACGTGACGCGAGTTGAGGCACATTGAAAAAGATGGGTGCGTGCCGTCGCCCGGCGCTGGGGGGAGCCTTCTGCCTCGGTCGGCCGGTGTACACGACGCAGCACGGCCTGGGGTGCTCGGAGCGAGGACGGGTGCCACGCCGCCTGCTCCGGTGCGGAGGGGATGGTGTGATGGCCTGCACCGGTGGCTGATTGCCGTGGCCTAATGGGGGCTTGTATCAGGACTCTGTGGTTTCGGCTTTTTCTTGGCCTGCATTGGAACGTGTAGCAATATAGGAACATGAGACGCATCTATTCACTTGGAAGGCAAGTGTTGATGAAGGCTGGTTTTTTATTGGCCGGATGAGGAATGGCTGAAAAGCTGCTGCAAATCAATGCGCATATATTCGATCCGTGGATTTCGGATACATTAGTCCACTCCAAACATTTCGTAATGCAAGTAGATTCCTACATACAAAAAAGTCACGAAGGTGCGTGATCTTCCTCCTTGATAAACTCTTCCAGGACGGAGCTGACACCAGCACTTATACATCCGTGCGTATTTTTCTTCAGCCGACGGATATATGTGCGGCAACCCCTGCTCCCAACAGCACGCGCTGGACTCCTGGGGGGGGGGGGGGGGGGGGCTGATCAAAGAAGCATGCACTTTTAAATACGACATTTAGCTCGTATCATAAGGCTGTGCAAGCCGCTCGATGGCACGGCGACATTTGCTTGTTTGTTCAGCTTGTCATCCAGAAACGGTGGTTCCATATGCATCCAATTAATTTGCTTCACCTGCCCACGACTTTTTCGCGAACCTGACGTGTTGTCTAAATCGAGAACGTGCGGTGCCAGCGGCGGACGTCACTCAGTGCTCCAGAAACCCATTTTCACGGAGAAGAAGGAATATTTCAGCACGTGCAGGAATGCGCTCACATGAATGAAGGTCACAATGCATACGCATCGCTCTCCGTATTTGTCCGGACGTAACGCAAGGCTTTCTTAGAATTAGGTGGCCATGGATTATGTTCAATTGTAATGCCGTATGATCGGGGCGGCTATAAGTTGGCAGCGCGGTTGCAGCCATGCTTGGAGATAGGGTGGGACAGATCTGGATTGGAGGGCTAAACCAAACTGAGGATGGACAACCTGACCTTAAAATTACGCTCAGCGTTGGAAAAACGCGAAAGGCGAATATCTTACGAACGAAGTTGTAGGGACAAAAAGCCCATTTTAGGAAAGTTGGAGGGAAACATCCTACAACCCCAGGATCACCCTCCTCAGGGGTTACACCCATGGTTTAGCGTTAAGTTCGGGGGCAACACTTCCATCTGGCTGTGCCATAAATGGGGGTTTCTGGGATGGGTTCGACACATTCTGTGCAGTGCTTTCTAAAGTGATAACATTTTTGGGTTGGTAGCGATTAGCTTTTTCGAAGAAATTGACCACGAAACAGCTTCCAAACTCAAGTTCTTTAAACATGTCCAATACTTGCTTGGAGCTGTGGTGGTCGATTTTCTTCAAGATAACTCCAAGCTCATTACACAGAAATACCAGTAGCTCAATGCCTTTTTCGTTGATATCAATTTCCGACGCGTGTCGAAGCTGTGTTCGCTCTATTTCTTGACACAGTCACTCTGATTGCCCGTTCGTTTACCAGCCAGCCATTGCTTACCCTTTCTCATCAGCCACGGACATGACATCATGCCTGTTTAGATTCTGATTGCCCGTTCGGTCACCAGCCTTTACTCACCCCTTCCCACCAGCCACGGACATGACATCCCGCCTGTTTAGAGTCTGATGGCCCGTTCGGTCACCAGCCTTTACTTACCCTTTCCCACCAGCCACGGACATGACATCCTGCCTGTTTAGAGTCTGATGGCCCGTTCAGTCACCAGCCTTTACTTACCCTCTCCCACCAGCTACGGACATAACATCATGCCTGTTTAGAGGGTCGTTTAGCCCGAGGGTATGTTCATTTTCAAATTAAGATTTAGGCTCATCCTGGCAGTTTCACGCAACAAGTTTGGAAGCGTTTCATCTACGCATGTCAAATCACGTCATTCTAAATAAAAATGTCCATGCTCGGGAAGCGTTGAGCTTCGCGCGTCTCAGACCACCTGCGATGAACGACAAATGAGATCCACGTTCGTTGATGATGGCGGGTCATTTTGCTGCCTTTTTTCTTTCTGTCAGCGATGCCTCATTCCGGGCGTCTCTTAAAGTTGCAGCTTCACATCGGTTCACAACGCATAGTTATTCCTTCGCAGTAAGATTATTTTTGAATCGATCGAAAGGTGGATTTTTCTTATGAATTCTGGCATCGGAGACGCAACTTAACGTGACTGAAATTCAGGAAGAAATCATGCCTAGGGGATGGTAAGGCCAGCCTTGTCGGCTAGGGCCTGTATGTATGCATATATATATATATATATATATATATATATATATATATATATATATATATGTGTGTGTGTGTGTGTTGTGTGTGTGTGTGTGTGTGTGTGTAGTTCGGATCGTATCACAAACACACAAGTGAATCGACTTTGCGTGATGTGGTCCTGCATATGGTTCATACTCGGTTTGGCTTTTGGCATTACGCAGATGTTCACTGAAACGTTAACACGATCAGTCCCTCTCATCCTCTGTCTTGCTTGGTCCTGCATCCCCGCGACACCCCGCTTGTCGGAGGCAGGCTGCATGCGTTAGTCACGAGTGGGCCGAGAGTTCCGTGGGAAGGGGCACCCCGACCGGGTGCCCAGCGTGCATGCGCGAGTTAAAGCTCGGCGATTGCCCCCCTCCCCCCGGTGCATGCAAGTCTGCCTCGCCGTTAACCATTTTCCTTTATCCCATAGCATTGGAATGATTATTTCTGGTCGAAAGGGCTCGAATCCTAAAAACCAAAAGCCAAGCGTAAACGCATGCTCCTTTCCGTTTCACTGATGTGGGTTTCTTGACAAATGTCACATAAGCTCTGCTGAAAGATGTTCTTCGTTGCGCAACGATTTCGCAGTTCGCCTTTACAAGTGACGCACGTTCAATACCCTGCGGGACAGCGAGGTCGCTCCAGCGTAGAACGGACCAAATGCTTCCTTATGTTTCGGTTGGCCCGAGCGGTACGAATCTGAAGACAGGAGAGGCGTATGATGTCATACTCTTAGAAAGATACATGACACCTCGCCAGATGATCACCGGTAAAGGGAAACGCCACGTATGCGGTACTCTGGTCTCTACGAGACGGCTGCTTCGTCTCATTGTTGTTCTGGTGCCGTAGTCTTTCCTGGTTCATTTGTCTGATGAGGCTCAGAGGATAACCGTTTTTCTTGAAGAGCTTCTTGATCTTGAGAGTGCCTGTTTGTCGCGCTGTTCCGTCAGATAACACTTGGACTCGGAGAACATTGTGGAAATTCAGTACGGTCCTTCTCGTCTGGGCGGGCCGCGCTGACGTAAACGTCAGTGTAATCGGTGCGGCCACCGACTTACTGAACAGCTCTGTGCTGTAGCTATCATAACTTCGGACTGTTATGAACGTGTCAAGGAATGGAATCCCGTAGGGTCGGACTGGCCATACCTTTCTATGGTGAATTTAACCGTTGGGTGTCTGCTGCTCAGGAAGTTGAAGTGGGCATCAAGGGACTGGCTGTCATGGGTCCAAGCTCCCAGAATGTAGTCTATATGACGGATGTAGATGGCTGGATGTGCTACATGGG